TCTGTCTCTCTCTCTCTGTCTCTCTCTTTCTCTCTCTCTCTCCTCTCTCTCTCTCTCTCTCTCTCTCTCTCTCTGTCTCTCTCTCTCTCTCTCTCTCTCTCTCTCTCTCTCTGCCCCCTCTCCCTCTCTCTCCTCTCTCACTCCTCTCTCTCTCTCTCTCTCTCTCTCTCTCTCTCTCTCTCTCTCTCTCTCTCTCTCTCTCTCTCTCTCTCTCTCTCTCTCTCTCTCTCTCTCTCATCTGTTCTCTACGTCTCTAGAGAACGAGAGCAAGCGCACACATGTAAACAAATATACATATGTTTTCGCTCTTCAGGATTTTAGCTTTGATATTTTTCTCTTTTCCTTTTTTCCTCTCAGTTGCAGTAGCTTTGAGAATTATTCATTTTCTTTTTCTCTCTCTCTTCTCGTTTCCTTTATGCTCTTTCTTTTCGTTTCTTTTATGTCCTTTCTTCTCGTTTCTTTTACGTGTTTTCTCTTCTCTGTTTCCTTTTCTTTCTTGTCTCTTCCTTTGAAGGTTTTCTCATCAAGGTGGCTTTTCAAGGTTGTGATAAAGAGGAGCTTTCGTCAACGTTCTCTTGACTGTGAAAGATTTATGATGTTTTGTTTGTGTTTTTGTGTGTTGTGGGTTTGTTTGTGTGTGGTGTGTTGTGTGTTGTGGGTGGGGGGGTTGTGTGTTTGGGGGGGTTGTGTGTGTGTGGGTTTGTGTGTTTGTATGTGTTTGAGTGGTGTTGTATTGTCTGTGTGTTGTGTTGTTGTTATGTGTGTTTGTCGTGTTGTTGACTGTGTTTTTGCGTGGCTGTATGTATGTGTACGTGCGCGCGCGTGTGTGTGTGTTTATGTGTTTGTGCGTGTATATGTTTGTGCTTTTTTGATACATTATTTGCGTATTTTATTAATGTTAGCCTTTTTTCTTTCCAAGCTGCTGTTTTTCCATAATGATATATTAAACATATAAGTTATTGCTTACTTGCGCAATAAAGATATTTTGGAAGTGATAATAAAAACAATAAAATGGTTAATAGATGAATTGATAAACACATTTTTTTTTTTCAATTTTACTGTTTTATAATGTATTTTTTAAAAATAATTTCTTATATTTTTTAATTGATGTCATTACACGTCATTCTCTTTTATGAGTTATTTATAGCCATCGTGATAAGGCAGAATGACTAGATAAAGGAATGATGATGATGAGATATTGGTGATGATGATAATGACGAAGAACTCATTATCGCAATGAATGATTAAAAGTCATTGTAAAAAAGTTACCAACAATAATTGATTAATATATTAGCCATAAAATGAAAATAATGATAAAATATAATGATAACATGATAAATAATATGTAATCTTTGAAAAGATATAAGAACGAAGAAAAATATAGATACAGCAAAAAGAAATAACAAAATACAGAGAAAAAATATATAAAGCATGGTGAGAGAGGAGGTAGAAAGGAAAAAGTCGAAATCAAAGCGAAGCGATGAAGAAAAAAGCGAAAAAATGTAATGAAAGAAAGAGACAAAGAGGAAGGAAAAAAAAATGGAGAAAAGCGAAAAGAGAATAATATAAGCAGAGAAAGAAGAACAAAATACAATGTAAATTATAGATGAAGAAGAAGAAAATAATAAAAAAAAGGAAAAGAATAGAGACGATAAAAGAGTAAAATAAGCGATATAGACATAAACAGATAGATACAGATACACGTACATACAGATATACAGATATGTTTGCATTCGTATTCATTATTCTATCAGTACCACGGCATAAAAAAAATAAAAAAAAGAAAAAAAACAATTCTCCTCTCTCTCTTCTCTTCTCTCTCTCTATCTTCTCTTTTCTCTCTCTCTCTTACCTTTTCTTTCTTTTCTTTGTTCTTTCCTTTTATCTTCTCTCTCTCTTTTCTGTCTGCTTCTCTTTCTCTTTCTCTCTCTCTCTCCTCATCTCTCTCTCTCTCTCTCTCTCTCTCTCTCTCTCATTCTCTACTCTCATATCTCTTCTTTCTCTCTCTCTCTCTCTCTCTCTCTTCTTTCTCCTCCTCCCTCCTCTCCCTCACTCCTCCGCCCATTCTCTCTCGTCTCTCTCACCTCCCTCTCTTTCTCTCTCTCCTCGCGCCATCCTCCGTTCCTCTCTCCTCCCTTCCTCTTCCCTCCTCCTAATTTCCTCCCCCCCTCTTCCTCTGCCTTCCCCGGGAGGCCAATCCTTCTCTCTCTTTCTTTCATTCTCCTCTTATTC